ATATATTCACAATTGGCTTCCCTCCAGTCTGATTTGGATCCATTTGAATTGTAAATGGACTTGTACATGGATTTGAATTCATGTTAGGCCTCCATTTGTTTGCCATCTCAACTTCTTCTTGAATCAGCCCACACAATGTTTCCTTGAAACATTTGGTTCTAAGGCGTGTGATTGGTCCGCTTGGCAATCTTAGTGGATCTTGGTGGATTTTTCTCTTATGGTGCCATTTGCATCATTCTGCCCTACTTGAGAAGGATTTGTCCTCAAATCTGCATCACCTACATCAAATGAAGATAAGTCAGAAACATTAAAGCTACTACTAACACCATACTCACCTGGTAATTCAAGTTTGTAGACATTGCCATTGATACGTTCCATCACCCCTTGGAGAAATTTAGATCTTCATCGTTGAGGAAATCGATCATTGCTCATATGTAGCCACACCCAATCTCCTGGTTCGAAGACAACTTTCTTGTACCCCTTATTAGCTTGCTTGCCATATTGTTCATTCTGACGCTCTATATGTTGTCTTTTCTTCTCATTAAGTTGTTTTATGAAATCTGATTTTTTTTCTCGCCATCTAAGCTAACACGCTCATTCAAAGTTAAAGATGTTAAATCCAAAGGAGTCTTGTACCGAAATGCAACTATTGATGCTCCAACATTTGAGAATCAAGATGGACAAGGTAAATGTGAATGTAATCATGCATATCATATTTTACTCAATTCTAAAATAGTCATGGAAGACCCACAACTTGTTGCTGACCTATGTTTTTCATCCACTGATATCTTAAGAGTAGTTGTGAAGAGGCATTCTATGAAACATGGAAGAGACATAACATTTATGAAAAAATAATCCTGATAGAATCTAGGTAAAGTGTAAAGATGGAGAATGTGGTTGGATGATGTATGCTTCGTACAAGCATGGTAAAAAAACAATACAAATCAAGACACTTGGGGAAGATCTTAGTTGCAGCAGACAAACATAGCAAGGTTAGAGATGTTAATGCAAGGTTTGTGGCAAAGAAGTACCATGATCAAATAAAAATCAATCAAAATTCTCCTTTCAAATCCATGTTGACTGTTGCACATCTGAACTATCAACTTGAATTCTCAAGATTTCAGATGTATCAAGCTATAAAAACAAGACTAGAACAAGCACGTGGTAGTGTGCTGCGACAATTTGCAAAAATATGGGAATATGAAGAGGAGATGAAACCTATAAATCCTGACACTATATTATATATAAAAAATCATACACAAGAAAACAACATCTTGGGATTTCATAGGATGTATATTTTGGGGGTATTGAAAAATGGATTCTTGGATGATTGTAGGCCTCATATAGGATTGGATGATTGCCATTTCAAGGGTCCAAGTGGAGGAATTCTCTGCGGTTGAGAGTAATGGAAATAATGAAATGCATCATGTTGCTTATGTTGTTGTAGAGAAGGAGAAAATTGCACCATGATTGTGGTTTTTGGAGCTGTTAATTGTAGATTTAAAGATTGGTAATAACTATAAATGGATTGTTAAGTCAGCTAAACAACTATTACCTGATGTTGTTGTGTTATGCATCTACATAGTAACTTCAAGTTGAGTAACAAAGGTTTGTAGCTGAAAGAGTTACTGTGGAGACCAGCATCAACAACTAGGGTTACTGATTTTAATGCAACAATAAATGAGCTGAGAACAGTTGATAGTAGTGATTTTCAGTGGTTAGTAGCTAGGGCACCTTAGCATTGATCAAGACCATATTTCAGCCCTTATTTTAAATGTAATATGTTGCTTAATAATTTGTGTGGGAGATTTAATGGTATGATACTTGCAAGTAAAGACAAGCCAATAATTTCTATTCTTGAGACGGTCATATTCTATTGATGAAGATAATTTATCAACCGATGGACTTAATCAACAAAAGCAGTGGAATATTATGTCTAAAAAAGAAAAATCTAGATGAACTGAAGAAAAAATCTATGACATAAATTGTTGAATGGGATGAGCCGGCATGACCAGTTTAAAGTTATTGGTGCATTTCAAGAAAAGTTCACAGCATATTTGGGTGAAATAACTTGCAGCTGTAGGAAGTGGGATATTTCTAGAATACATTGTAAACATGCTATTGCAGGTACGTTTTTTATGCATTATGCGCCTGGAAACTATGTGGTTGACAACTATAAAAAGGAGACATTCTTGAAGGCTTATACTAAATTGTTGAACTCTATGCATGGCTCAGAAGAGTGGCCGACATCTTCTGGGAACCATTACATCTCATCTGTTGGAAAGACATCCTAGTAGGCCAAATAAGGTTAGAAAGAAACAACCCATGAAGAAGTTGGTAAAAATGGGAAGAAGAGGTTGTTAAGAAACGGGACACAAAATAAATGTGGTATTTGTAAAGAGTTTGGCACTACAAGAGTGCATGTCCCAAAACAAATGAAGCTATGGCAGGAGTATCTACCACTTTGAAATTGCACGTACATTATATTTGTTATTGATTAGTTGTATGTTATTATTTTTATTTTATTAATTCATATTTTTAATGATGGTGAGGAAAAAGAAGACATGTTCAAGAGGAAATTCTCCACAATCAATAGAATTTTCTCAGTCAGCTCCAAGATGACCCAACTCAAAATATGGGCTCTTAGGAGTGGAAGCAATTTCAATACATTTTACTCTTATGTATGAAAAAAATTTACTAGATATTGACTATTTTTGTGTGGATCTTTCGATGCCCACAACTTCTCTTTTTGAGATATTTTGATGGTAAACTTTGTTATGCAAAACTTTGATGAAAATATTTATCAAAATCCGAGCTTTTGTTATATAAAAAGTTGTAATCTTTTGGATGTAGTGGATACAGTCTTTTGTTATGCCCAAAAATTTATTAAAGATCGAAAATTTTGTAAGGACAAAATACAGATTGTAAATTTATTCAAATGATAATAAATTACATTACCTTAAAATCAAATACATTACAAACAACATAGATAATTGTCCTTGTCACATAGTCAATAATAGCTATATTGACAATCCTTACATTATGATAAAAATATAAACCACGATCTTACGAAAACAACCAAATTATCCTAAACACACAAACCATCAAATAATCTTCTGTCCAACTGTCCATTAAGCAAGTTTCAAACCATTGTTCTTCTTCGTTCTATTGAAGCTTCCATACAACCAATAAATCAACATCCAAAAAAATGCGAGTAAATCTATAATTTATTCTCTCTTGATCTTTTTTGTGTTATTTCAGCCCCATATTCATTAACTCGACGAAGTAAGCCCATGAATTATTTGAGTAACTCTATACCCCATAGGTGGGTCAATCCAACAAAATAAATGCACACCCACCTACTTCTTATATTAATGAAAGAAAATGCAAATTAGATTTCAGAAAAAGTACAACTGTGTATATAGATACAAGAAATTGAAAGAGCAATTCATATATACCTTATACTTATGCAAGTATTGTATCTTCTTTCAGGTTTTCGCTCAGTCCAAGACGTTTTTTATATGAACGTCTTACCTCAGAAGTAATGATTTTCCATGACTACTCTTATAAAATGCAAAGAATTCAGAAATTCAAAAAACCCATACATGTTAGCTCAAACTATTGAACATAAATCATGCAATGTACAAATATCTTACCTCTGTTCTTTCACCATTTTGCCTTTGGAGTAAATAACCGATCTTTTGGATAGAAGAACCCTATTTTTTTCAATTGGTTTGAATCTCAAATGTGTAATTCGGGGGTTATATGAATGATAATTTGGGTTGGGTATGACAAATTATATATACACCTTGAAATTATATATATCCTTTAAGCAGGTGGAGTTTTCTCAATTCACGTCAAAAATACGTCAAAAATTTAACTTTGGGATGAAGTGCAACAAAAACAAAATTTTCAAATGGGGACGCCTCCCTTTTTAATTTCTAGGGGGGAAAGTGCGAATTTTTTAAATTTGTAGTGGGCGAAGTGCATTTTATCTTAATTTCAACTTACTAACTTGAGAAGAACTACCTACTAGGAGAACCTTATAAATAGAATGGCTTATTTTATATACACCGCCAAAATAATCCATTGGCACACCCCCTACAAAAATCCAAGCCCCGCCAACCACCCAAGGTTCAGCGCTCGAAAATTAAAAAAAAAATTATAGAAACAAAATTTACAATAAAAAAAATGAATGAAATCGCCATAAATATACAGATTTCGGCGAGAGGAATCCAACGGTGGGTAGCCCGTCAAATTCCGACTGCCGCAATACAAGTTACTCATCTGAAAAGATCCACCGTCGTCAAAATACACGCCGGCTGAAATACAATTGTAGAAACAGATCTAGCGCTCAAAACTGAATATAATCACCAACAAAAGAAATAACTCGACGAGAGGAATCCAACGATAGTTAAACCATCGAATTCCGATCACCGGAGAGAGAATTATGACTCCAGGAATTTGGATATGAGAGTTAAGAGATGAAGAGAGAGATCGATATGAGTAAACTATGGCTTAGAACTGATTTAAAATAACATTTTATATATTTCAAATTAGCTTGGAAGTAAGTCAAATTATTATTAAAAAAATGAGGGAATTTGCGCGAGGGCGTAATCCGTTAGTTTGTTAGTGAATTACTGAATTACATCTCTAATGCCGTTAAACACTCGAAAGAAAACAATTAACACCCTCTTAAATGATGACATCACTGTAACACTTATTATACACAAGGGTTAATTAGTAAACTTATATTTTATTCAAAACCATATATTACAATTACCACCCTCATGAAATAATAATATCAAAGTACCTTTTGAGAGTAGAATTAGTATTTATTGATAAATATTACATGGAATCAAATATATGTTGCTAAAGTTCACACTTTAAGGAAGACAAATTAAGAGGACAACAAACTATATATAGTATTATCGATTCATGATTTTTTTTTTTGTTTTTTTTTTTTAATGTATGTCAACTTTAATTTCAGTGGAGTTCTCATCAAAAAAAATATCACTAAAACACACATACACACTATGCAGCCCTATTCTCTTACATCCAACGCGCCATCCACACACACACACATAGTAAGAACTTGAGAAAATGAACACGCTCGGCAAAAAAGGTTTTCCCATGTCTTTTGCTCTCCATATTTTCCTAATAATCGTTATCTCACTCTTGGCAACCCCTTCATCATCATCTTCTTCTTCACTAGAGTCATTTGTATACGTAGGCTGCACCCAGCTCAAATACAACCCCGGCACCCCCTACGAGTCCAATGTCAACTCGGCACTCGCTTCCCTGGTCAACTCAGCCTCCATCTCCAACTACAACAACTTCAAGATCTCACTCCCCGGCTCCGCCCCGAACGACGTCGTCTACGGCCTCTTCCAGTGCCGCGGCGACCTCTCCCCCTCCGACTGTCGCCGCTGCACGGCCGACGCGGTCTCCCGAATCGGGACCTACTGCGTCGGCACTTCCGGGGGCGCCCTCCAGCTGGACGGCTGTTTTATAAAGTACGACAACGTGTCGTTCTTGGGGGCTCAGGACAAGGCCGTGGTGTCGAATAAATGTGGGCCGTCGATCGGGTACGACTCCGACTTGCTGACTAGGAGGGATGCTGTGCTGGCGTATCTGACGGGCGGCGGGCATTACTTTCGGGTCGGTGGGTCCGGGAGAGTGCAGGGTATGGTGCAGTGCACCATGGATTTGAGTATGGGCGAGTGCCAGGATTGTTTATCGGAGGCGATCCAACGGCTGAAAACCGAGTGTGGGACGTCTACTTTGGGGGACGTGTTCTTGGGCAAGTGCTACGCGCGGTACTCGGAGAGTGGCTATTCGTCCGAAAGCGGTAAGCTCCGCCGCTCCGGGTGGTGGTTCTTGGCTTCTGCATTTACATTTTTTCTTTAGTAGATAGGTAATTTGGTTATATTCCATAATTAATGTTTATATCATGTTGTAAACTAGAATGTTCAAAATCAAATGAATCTTGAATATCTGCTTTAAAATTGATTGTTGTTGTTGTTGTTATTTTTTTTTTTTTCTTTTTTTTTTTAAATTTATATCCACCAAGAACGTTTTAGAAATATATGACCACCTACTATTGTCAAGAGTACCATCAACTATGTATAGTTAATTATATAAGGGGTAATGGCAAATAGGCCCATGACAAGGGCACTTAATTAAAATAGGGACATCCAACTTTTTTGTCTTTCAAATAAATCCACCCCATTCAAACTTATTTGCAAATAAGGAAAATCCCTTTATATATACCAAAATTACCCCCAATTCATTTGAAACCCAATTTAACTCCAATTTCATGATTTAAACCCCAATTTAGCCCAATTTCATCAATTAACCAATTTTAACCCAAATTTCAATTTTGACCCCAATTTTAACCCTAATTCGTATCAATTCCACCCATTATGCTCTAACTTCTTTAATATTACACATTGACCTCGGATTTTAACAAATATATCACATTAACCCCCAAAACTTTATTTTTTCAGAAAATAATTTTTTTTCTGAAATATTTTTTTCCGGCCAGATTCCGGCGTTGACCGCCGGAGACCGCCGGTCTCCGGCGTTGACTTTTTTTTTTTTTTTTTTTTTTTTTTTTTTTTAAGAAATTGGGTTCCCCGAAATTTTTTTCGGGCCGGCCAACAGGCATAGACCCCCGGGATTCCGGCGTGGACTTTTTTTTTTTTGTCCTGAAAAAAAATTTTTAAATAAGTTTTCCTGTTTGGGGCGAAAAATAAAGGTCTCCGGCAGGATTTAAACCACTGCAGACCGCAATTAAACGGTACAACCGCCCGTTTTTTTTTTTTTTTCC